TCTTTCTGTCTTTTGTCCCTTTCATAGACAAACTCCTAGATAACACTATCTATGCTTTGCCTCCATTTTCTCACTCCCTCCTCACCTTCACTTCAAAATCCCTCAAAAATCTAATTTCTACACAACTGCTCCACTGAAGGTTTTCTCTTTTTTAAGACTGTCAAAGATTAGAAGCAGCATGAAACTGTGGAGAGGGCACTGACTCTAAAATCAGTAGGCTTGAGTTCAAATCTCACCTCTGACACTTATTACCTCTGTCACTTTGGGCAAGGCACCAACCATTTGTTAATTGCTTATTATGTGCCAGGCACTTCACTAAGTTCTGGGGATACAAATACAAGTGAACAGATAGTTCTTGCCCTCAAAAAAGCTTGCATTTTAATACGGTAAGACAATAGCAAAAAGGAGCTAAAAAATTGGGTTTGAGTGAAGAGGGAGAAAGTCCCCACATGAGTTGCAAGGTGTAAAAGACCTGAGAGCCAAAAGCAGAGCTGGAAGAAGACTGAAAGATGGCCATCCTGGGCCGCTTCCCAAAATGGAGAACCTGGAGACTCTCATTATTAAGAGAAAGGGACAAAAATCTAAAGGACGCTAAGGGCAAAAAGGCCCCAGAGCAAGACTCTTAACCATCCTGAGCCTCAATTTACTCATCTGTAAAATGAGGTTGGAATAGATACCCTCTGAGGTCCCTTCCAGTTTTAGATCTGTAATCTTGTGATCTCTCCTATTAAATCTGGTGGCCTTTTCTCAGTCATCCTACTTTTTTTTGTATTATTTCCTCGGGTGTTTTATATTATGTTCCTCTAGGATACCTATGACCCTTAAATTGTTTCTTGATATCCTGATCTCAAGTTCGATGGCGCCTTAGTCATACAAATGGGAAAAGGACCCATGTGTACAAAAATATTTATAGCACGTCTTTTTGTGGTGGCAAAGAATTGGACTTTGAGGGAATGCCCAACAGTTGGGGAATGGCTGAGCAAGTTGTGTTATATAAATGTAATGAAATACTATTGTGCTATAAGAAATGATGAACAGGCTGACTTCAGAAAAACATGGAAAGACTTAAATGAACTAATGCTAAGTGAAGTGAGCAGAACCAAGAGAACATTGTACACAGTAATAGCCACATTGTGCAATGATAAACTTTGACAGACTCATCTCCTCTCATCAGTGCAAGGATCCAATACAACTCCAAAGGACTCATGATGGAAAATGCTGTTTACATACAGAAAAAGAACTATGGAGTCTGAATGCAGATCAAAGCATATTATTTGATCTTTCTTTTCTTTTTTTTTGTTTGTTTCTTCCTTCTCATGGTTCCTCCCATTGGTTCTAATTCTTCTTTACAACATGATTAATGTGAAAATAGGTTCAATATGAATGTATATGCAGAGCCTATGTCAGATTGCATGCCTTTTGTGGTGGGTAGAGGGGAGAGACAGGGAGAAAATTTGGAACTCAAAATCTTATGGAAGTGAATGTTGAAAACTAAAAATAAATAATTTTTTAAAAAATCAATGGCTCTGTTTGTAGAGATTACATGCTCTTTCAGCATTATTGCCTTTTCCTCTCTTCATCCACATTGTCTTTTACTTCAGTGTATTTGTATTCCAAATCTATTGATTTCTCTTTCCCTTCTTTGGAGAGACTTGGCACAATAGCCTCAACTTTTTTCTGTTCTGCTAATTTTTTCTGTTGTGCAGGCCATACGTTTTGATATTTATTTCCTCCTAGCTTATTTTCTTGCAGTTTTCATTTTTTATTTTTAACAATTCTAGAACATTCTTTTGGGGCTCCATGTTCTCTTGGGCAGCTAGGTGGTGCAGTGGATAGAGCACTGGGCTAGGCATCAGGATGACTCATCTTCCTGAATTCAAATCTGGCCTCAGACATTTACTAGCTGTGTAACCCTACTTAACCCTGTTGGCCTCAGTTTCTCATCTCTAGAATGAGCTAGAGAAGAAATGGCAAACCACTCCAGTATCTTTGCCAAGAAAATCTTAAATGTGGTCACAAAGAGTGAGACACAACTGACACAACTCAATAACAAAGCTCTCTTGGGATTTCACAAGAGTCTAAGTTCCATCAGGCATTAGTTCAATTTTATTTGCCTTATATTTGTTTAGAAAAGTTTGCAAACTTCTTGAGATTTTAGTACTCATCATTCCTTCTAATTCTAATACCTTCTCTGTTGATTTTTTTTCCATTTGTGCTCTAGGTTTTTTATCAAATTTTCTTCCTCTTGAAATTTTTGGTGATCTTGGCCTTTTTTTCCCCTTATGTTCTCCTGTCATTCACTTTCTGACTTCTCTTCCTTTGATGGTAGGAATGCTCACAAGACTAAACTTTAACACTGCTTTGGTCTCTTCCAATATTGAGAATTTACTTTCTGCCAGCTTTGGTCCCTGTCCTAAGTAGCCTGTGGAGGATAGGACTGACTCCAAGTGGATTTAAATCCCCTTTCCTTCAGGTTGTATGTGGCCACACACATGGCCATTTCTAGCCCCTATCCTCTCCTCTTGGTGGGCTAAATCAACATCCATTTCTTTTATGGAGTTAGGGGAGGGTGTTCTGGGCAGAATCTCTACATCCTTAGAGTTCCCTCACTTTGGTGCTGAGTCTCTCACACACACACACACACACACACACACACACACACACACATACACACACATGCACGCATACTTCAAACTGCTTATCCTTCCTCCCACACTTCCAGCTGGGCAGATTCAATTTCTCCTACTTGTAATGGAGTGAGGTACGCTAACAGTCTCTGCAGCAAGAGAAAAATCCCTGTATGATCCCAAAGCACAAGTCTATGGGTTGGTTCATGTGACGGGTCAGAGCCTGGAGGCTGGTCAGGGAGAGATACTAAATAAGCACATTAAGGACTTGGAAGTGCTCATTCAAAAGGCTGTTACTTCATTGAGCTTCCTGCTTTCTTGCCTTGTGGATTTGGCCTGTAATTGTTCTATTTCTGGCACATGATTATTCTTTTTTTGGTTTCTTAAAAATTAGTGGGGACTGGAAGAAAGATCTAGTCCTCCATTTTGTTGGTAATGTAACTTTCTTGACTGCTGCATTTAATACTGCTGATTACTTTTTCTGTATATTCTCTCCTCCCCATGCTTACATAATACTGCTATTATAATTCTCTTTTAACTCTCTATTCCTTCTCAGTTTTCTTTTCAGGTATTATCCATGTGTCACCTCCATGTGCAGAAACACCTTAAGACTCATTCCTGTGCTCTCTTTTCTCCACAATCCTTTGGCGATCTCATCTGCTCCAGTGGATTTCACTACTATTTGAAAGCAGATGACTGGATTGACTCAAGATGTGGTGGATTTTCCTTCCTTGAAGATCTTCAAGCAGAAATTGGATCACCACTAGATTGTCAAGTATATTGCAGTGGGGATTCCTTTGTTGCATGGGTTGCCCTAGATGGTCACTCAGTTCCTTTCCAACTCTCAATTCTGTGATTCTGTGACTCTGAAATCTAAATATCCAGTTCTCATTTCTCTCCTGAGATAAAGTGCCTTATCTCCAACTGCCTGCTTAATATCTCTGCCTGAATCTCATAGGCATTTCAAAATTAGCATTTCTAAAATTAAATTCATTTTTTCTTCTTAAATATATCATTCCTCCTTATTTCTGCTTAAGCACTATCATTCTTCCAGTCACCCAGGTTCTCAACCTAGAAATCATTTTCCACTCTTCATTCATTCATTCCTCCATATTCAATAATTAGCAAAGTCTCATTGATTCTATATCTACAATTACACAATAACCCCTCTAATGCAGATCCTCTTCTCCTCTTACAATAGTCTCCTAATCTGTGTCCCCATGTCCAACTTCTCTCCTCCTCAGTACACCCACCATACAGTTGCCAAATTGATACTCCTAAAATCCAGGTCAGATCCCGTCAGTCCCTCACTCCAGAAGCTCTAGCGCTTTCCCCTAGAGCCAGATTTTGAAGGGACTTAAATGACAAACAGTTTTTATTTTAGCCTACTTTTATAGAATGATTGTATATCCCCTCTCCTGCCCTCCTCACTCCACATTTCAGCTAAACTGGCCCACTTGCTGTTCTCCGTACATGATATTTCATATCTCAACTCCATGCTTTATAACTCTTTACCTATGATTCTCGTAACCCACTAGATCTCATCAAGGCTTAACTCAATGTCATCTCCTGATTCCTCAGGTTGATAGTACCTTACCTTGAAATTTGTATTTATTTTTGTATTTACTCACCTGTGTACAAATTGCTTTTCTCCTCTAGAAAATAAGTTCCTTGAGGGTGAATACTGTTTCATTTTTCATCTTTGTTACCGTGGTGTGTAGTCTCAGACACATAGTAAGAAGGTGCTTTTAAGAAATTAGTTGAGGGGCAGCTAGGTGGCATAGTGGAGCACCAGCCTGGAGTCAGGAGCACCTGAGTTCAAATCCAGCCTCAGACACTTGGACACTTACTAACTGTGTGTCTCTGGGCAAGTCACTTAACCCCAACTGCCTCACAAAAAAAAAGAGTTGAATTTAGCAGAAAAAGGATCCAATTCTACTATGTTTTTAAATGCATTAATTCAGGATGAAGTGTTTTACAGAGGATGACAGAAGTTCTTAACTGGTGATGCTTAGCACTTACAAAAGACTTTTTGTTCTAAGTGTTATACTACCTTAAGTAGAAAATTTGGTCCAGGAGATTACCAGTTTTCTGAAGGGGTATATTACATCCTTACTACCTAGTTGGAGGATTTGTTTGTCTGTAGAGACTCTGAAAGTGGGAATGGAAACACAAAAGACAATATCAGTCTGAGCAGTTTTCCTTCTACTTTCCCAACCCCTGTGAAAGTGTAGACAAAAACCAAGTGCACAATAGATCACCAAAAGAGCTCCCATTAAGTTTGTGTGGAGTTTTTTCTGGATAATTTTTTAATCCCATAAGACTTTTGAAACTATTGTTTGTGGTGAATCAAATAATAACTTCAATTCACTGACAATTTTACAGTAGTTTTCTTATTTTTATGCTGATAATTAAGTGAACTAAGATTTTGTACACTAAAATTCATAAAATGGCATTTAGAAGCTTATGCCTCCACAATAAAAGTCAATGATTTAACCTCATGTCAAAAGTACACCTAAACATGGCCAGTGGGAATTTTTCTGCTGGATTAAGCAGCTATGCATTGAAAGATTTATGTTTTTAGTTTTTTATTTGCTCATTGGGAGGTAAGGAGTGGGCAATATAAGGGACAGATTAATTTAAAAAAATTTTGAAAGGATATTTATGCAAACATGACATATTTGTTACAATATACTTTACTACTGTGAAGTGGTGTTGTCCTGAATTTAAATTCAGGCACTGAGCCACATTGCCAAAGAGCAATGGCAAAAATGCAGTGCATCATCTTGCTAAGTAGATTTTTTAAAAAAAAACAGTATTTTAATGAACTGTTCCAATGGGGTAGGACTGCTACTGGTATTCCTATCACTGAGAATAGGAATGAATGAAAAGTATTTATTGAAAAAATAATGTGAACAAGATTTAAAATGAATGTCATTTATATTTTTAAATCATTGAATTGCTAAGACACACGTGCTGCATATTTTTAAAAACTATATCTAAGTAGTGACAATGAAGAGCAAAAAACTAAATGGTTTGGTTCTGTGAATAAGACAAATATTGATTGATTTTTCCCAGTCTTGTTACACATATCCAACCTAACATTTATTTTTATTTAATTATTCTAGGCCTCTTTGATTTGGCCATGAGCTGAGGAAAATAATTTTAAAGCTGCTCCTCCAAATCTGCTATTTTGGAGATCAAACATATCAAAGGCATATTACAGTTATATACAGATTTTAAATGTAAGGACACTCAATATTTGTGAAACTCTGACCAGGGTTTTGAAATTGTCTTCAAAGTGATTATGAAATAAAGTGGATTTTTTAAAAGAAAAATTGACTCTCTTTTTTTCTAAATCCAGTACTTAAGACTAATGGTTAATGTCAAAATGGGAACAAGGCCTCTTTGGTCAGTACTGATAAACCCTGTAATGACTTTTGAATGCCTCAATTTTCCCCTCTCTAAGACAGGAGGAAGGTAATGCTTTCCACATACCTTAGGAATAAGTTATGAGAAGGGAAAGTAAGCCAAAACATTGATACCTTTGGAAGGATCGTGACATTTGTATACACAGTAAATATAAGGCATCTAGCACTGGTAGCATTACTCATAAAGACAAATAATGTATTTTGAGACCAGGGTATTCAAGTATGATACCTGTACCACAAGCTGGTTAGATCAGTAGCTTGTAATTCACATGGTTTAAGGCCAGAATGGTATTCATCTTGATGATTTGCTAATGTAGCCACTTTGTTCAAACTTCAATCAAAGGTCTGATCTTGGATTTGTAGATGTGTACTTGGGTGCCAACTTTTTAATGAGGTCCACTAAGTCTGCTTTTTCTATGCATGCCTTGCACTCTTCTCCCCAGCTGTTGAGAATCTTTTTCAGCTCAGCTACTCTCATCTTCGACAGATCCACTGATTCTAAGTCCAACTTCTTCTCTGGAAAATAAAAAAAATATATATCAAAAGATAAAACCTCTTAAGAGGCAAGGTTTATCTTTTGTTATTGTGCTAAATCTAATAATACTCAAGTGGGGACTGGGGAAAGTTCCAATTCTTAGAGAAATAAGAGAGACAAGACTAACACAAACACATCCAGAACAATGGCAATAACCCCTATTCGGTCTCTGAGCTATATTCAGTCCCTGAGCCTCAGTACGTACACTGAACTACATTAAATTCTGGGAATACTAGGATGAAACCAGATATGGTTCCTTCTATCAAGAGGTTTACACTGTAGTTAGGGCATAAGAAATACACAAAAACTGTATACTTAGCATAGTATCTGGTACATAATAGGCACTTAATAAATGTTTATTTACCAGCTGATTGACAAATAATTGTAACAAGATAGCAATTGTTAAGTATGTAGGAGGAGTCAAACACTACCTTCACCTCAAAATTTTCCATTTTTTCCAGTTTTTTAGTCTTCAACCCTGGATAATCCTCCACGATCTCATTACTCTATTCCAATTTCTAGGCAGTCACCAAATCTGAGTTTCTCTACAAAAAAGTCATAAAATCAAACTGATTTCACCCACTCTAAATTTCTGGCATATAACTTTACTTCTGTGTAGCAGTTCTTGCACTTCATAGTTATATATGCAATATTAACGTTTAACCCAAATATAAAGTTTATCCTAACTTTATTTAACTCATCCCAACATTTTAGTTTATAAAGATCTTTTTGGATCCTGACAGTTATATAAAATGTTACTGATCACTCCCATGTTTGTGTCATCTGAAATTTTGGTAAGCATGTTATTTATGTAGTATCCTTTATTTATATAGGTCCTTCATAAATACACAGATCAAGCACAGATCTCTAGAGATCACCCCTGGAAACAACCCTTCCAAGCTGACATCAAGCCATTAATTACTACTTGAGTATACATTTAACCACTTCCAAATCCATCTAAGTGCACTATCATCTAAGCTACATCTGACTTTTCCACAAGAATAGCATGAAATAGTTTATTAAGCACTTTCCTTTTTTGCAAATCAAGACATTTCCCTTCTCCAATCCAGTGGTTCATGATCTTGAAACACCACTGACAGAGGCTCTCACTAATAAGAAAGAATTGGTTGCTGGGGTGAAAAAGATAGAAACGTTGTTGGGGGAGAAAGGCAGGAAGTGACCACTCCATATTAAAATGTGTGATAGAGAAGAAAGCTGGGCATAGTGTTACATACACCCTAGATTTTGGGAGAACAGATTTCAAAGGGGTCAAGGGTCAAAGTGGATTCTTTGCATGGGACTTCTAGTTCCTCTTGCCTTTTACTTGAACTTTATAAATTTTTGTGTAAACATTTAGGGGCCAGGGGTTTTCTTGGATTTTAGGGGCAGCTAGGTAGTGTGTTGAGTAGGACACTGGGCCTGGAGCCAGGAAGACCTGAATTCAAACTCATCCTGAGATACGCAGTAGCTGTATGGTCTTAGGTAAATCATTTAATCTCTACTTGCCTCATTTTCTCCAACTATATAATAGGGATAATAACAGTATCTACCTCCTCCTGTTGTGAGAATCAAACAAGATAATAATAATAAAGCACTTAGCATAGTACCTGGTACATAGTAAGCGCTACATAAATGTTGCCTATTGTTGACTATTATTATTTTGTGTCCTATTAATTTCCAGGTGACTTAACTACTATTCTTTTTTCTGTATTATAGCTACTTTTTATACTAGCTACCTTCGTGGAGCTACATAGGGTATTTTCTCCCTACCTCACCCTTTTTCAATTAAAGTCCTTTTGATCAGATTCGTATGACACCAGAAAAAAATCTTCTTGCTAGTCTTTGTCTGGTGCACTTCATCCCTGTCCAGGAACCTATCATTTCTATATTCTAAGCTGTGGTCCTAAAATTCAAACACCACCTTTTAATTATTTCTTCATTTCCCAAATCAGTTTTTCTTTTTTTATATACTTTATCTTCAACGGGCATCCTCTTCAATTTATTGCTCGAGACTTTGTAATCTTTGGCAATACTTTCTTAGTATCTTCTGACAGTATCATTTGTGCCCACATCAATCATGAGGAGGAGATCATTTTCATCTGGTTTTGACAGGCCTTGGGAGGTTCTCTGTCAAGTCTTGGATATGTTCCACGGGAAGACAACAGGCTATGGTTCTTATCAGGTTGACAAACAGCTGCCTCAGTACCCCTAAACAGGTGACCACTACTTGTACTTCAGTGCCTCAGTGATCACTATTGGACATACCTTAGTTGACCTCAGGCATACGGGCAAACTTACTCCTTCATTTGTCTCTTAAGGAAAAAGAGAGAAGCATCATCCCTTTACTGCATTTTTATGTCTTTCTTTAACTAACAGCAAGAATGCCAACGTGGATGTAAGACAGTCCCTCTAATAAGAGGTCTACTATCATTGGAGGATCACTGGACAAGGAACTCACATTTTAGAGCACCCAAAATTAAATTACTCTTTGTAAAAAGTCCAACAACTTTGATTCACAGATTCTTCTTTCTTCCTTCCCATTACTTTGTCATTATCATGTCAGACTGAGGGCCATCTGTATTTTTATCAGTTTCATGGCCATCTAGTCCCGCTAAAATAAAAAAACTATTTTAAAAATAGAGATACAAAGCATTGGCCAATTCTAATACAAATGAATTGGAATCTAAACAGAGTTGGGCTAGAAAAATTAAGGCTCTTCCAGATATTTATTCAGAAAGTATCTTCCTTCTTCAAAAGTGCTTATATGCAGAGAGCTTCCCTACCTCTTTTACAAAAAAGTGCTGTGCTTCTTGTCCCAACCAAATTACACTTTCACAACCTATGGACTAGCAAACTCTATACCTATGATATTTCCTCATTTGATGGCTGAACTAATAGTACAACTTTTCAGAGCTTAAACCAGCAACTAACAACTCACCCAGCTCTGTCCAACATCAGTTTTCATGCCAACAATAGGCAGAAAAAAAGAATGTAAAAAAGTGGGCATATCAAGATAAGTAGTTTCAGGAAGAAGACTAATTTGCATTAATTAACTGCCTTCCTGGCATTGCACAATTTGTGTGTGTGTGTGTGTGTATGTGTATGTTTGTGGGTGCTCACACTCAGGCTTTGGCATTTGACATTAATAAAAAAAGAGAGGAAAGACTACTAAGAGTAGCTAATTCCAACTTTGATAGACTTGGCTCTTCACAGCAATGCAAAGATCTAAGACATTCCAAAAGTCTCATGATGGAAAAAGCTAAGAAGAACTATGGAGTTTGAATGCAGTTGCAGCATGCTATTGGCTCTTTATTTTCCTTCTGTTTTGCTTTGTTTCTTCTTTCTTGTGGTTCCTCCTATTGGTTCCAATTCTTCTTCGCAATATGACTAATATGAAAATGTTTAATAGGGATGTATATGTATAGCTTATATCAGATTGTGCACCATCTTGAGGAGGGAGGGGGAGAAAATTTAAAACTCAGCTAATGGAAGTGATTGTTGAAAACTAAAAATAAATTAATTAATTAAAAAGAAAAGAAAAGAAAAAAGAAAAAAAGTAGCTAATCCCTATCTGAATAGGCCTATACAGGTACCAAGCTAATTTCTCTGGTTCCCCAGGGGCTTCTTTCATAGGTAGTCATTTCTCCTCATTAATAAGAGGCCATTTGATATTGTTTTGCTTATGTAAGGGTCTTGCTCTACTTCACTGAAGTTAAAATCATTTACATTATAAACCTAATACAAAATAACAGTTTACAATTAGCAGCCTACGAGTCAGAGGTATCATTAGACCAAACTGTGAAGTAGGCAGATTATCATTGGCACCCCTTACCTCACCTTTCTGTACCCCACACACCTTTCATGGTGCCCCCACCACATGGTACCTGATCCATTCAGGCTGCCCCTGATTATCTAGGACCCTATTACCATGCCTCTCTCAGGTAATATCCGGTGTCACAGACATTTCGACCTTCTTCCCTGTTAAAATCTGCTCTCAAAAATCTCTCTCTGCATCTTAAGAGTTGAAGAGAGCCTTAGAGATCAGATACAGCTCATTTCACAAAAAAAGAAAATTGAGCTTCAGAGAGGTAGAAAAGACTTGTCCAAAGTCAGGTATACATGCTTGGGGACCCAGGTTTCCTCACTCCCAATTTAGTATACTTTCTATTATAAAACCATCTTATTTTCCAAAACCAAAAAAGAGCTTTCAAAGATTTCATATAAAAAAATAAATAAAATTAAATTTAAAAAAAAGATTTCATATAATTAGAATACACTGGGCACAGAAAAGCTTAGGATCTTATTAAATAATTCACATTCCTATCTAGTACAATGTCTTACACATAGTGATGTTTTATAAATATTTGTTGAATTGAAACAAAGCGTTAGTGACTGATAATAATTAATATGTTCACTTTGTAGATGCTTTCATGTCAGCAGAAAACAATATCTTGACAGTTAAGAAAAAGGTTAATATAATATTAATAATATCTTAACAATTAAGAAAAAACAATTAAGAAACAATTAAGGCCCATACTAGGAAGAAACTTCTGAATGAAGGAGGTTCCCAGAACAACAATTATACCTTGTTGACTACCCATACTTCTCCTTGTTAAGAGTTCAAATCTATTGAACAATAACAGCCATACTTTCTAGCTGGATGTGTCAAATGTCATCTGTCACAACTTGTTCTTTCTGTTTCTATTGCTAACTATGACTTTTGCCTGAAGCAAAAGTTGGTTTTACATAAATAACCTGATTCCTGCAAACCTGACTCTAGTAAGTTAGCTAGGTTTCACATGGAAGGAAGGCTTACTCCCCTTTTATGTCCCAAAGACTACATATAGTCACAACATAAACTCCTTGAGAAAAAGGCCATTTCGCTCTTGTCTTTGTATCCCCTCCAGGTGCTTATTGATTGACTAAATAGGCAAAATTTTGTTTCTTGGGGTCATAAAGAGCTACAACCATATTTTCTTTGGATGACTATTCCACCCCAGTTTTAGCAGATTTCAACAGAAACTTATTAAATGCCTAAGATATGCTGATCAGTGGGGGAGATACAAAGATTAAATGAGACAGTCCCGATGCTCACAAAATTTGAAATCAAGCAGGGAGAGATGAGACACACACAAATAACTATAAAAACATAAATTGATGCATAGTAAGTTCAAAGGGAGACTAGGAGAATCATGAAAGAAATGGCACTCATAAAAGTTGGTAAGAGATTTCAATTGGGAGAAGGCATTCCAAGCATAGGTAATGGTGTGAACAAACATAGAAAAATGCCAATTGGAATAATGGGGTAAGGTTTGGCAGCACATAACACACATGGCCAGTAATAGTATAAAACGGTTTGGTAGTCCCTGATTGTGAAGGGCCTTGGGTGGTTAAGCAAAGGAATTTACATTTTAAGAATTCAAACAGCAGTCAATAGGGAATCACTGAAAAGTTTTAAAGAAAGCAGTGATATGGACAGATCTATGCCTAAGGAAGATGTCTTCATGAAGAAAAGTGTCATTTGAACAGGATTCTAAGAGTGGGCTGGAACTAGACATGTTTCTTGAGGAGAAAAGGCTCTGTCTCCAACCAACTGGGGATGCTGACATAACACATATTTTACTCTACGTATACCATATTTAAGCTCGCAGATCTGACTGTCTATCCTCTTCAGCTTCTCACAAATCTTTATTGCTGGTATGTGGGCACTCATGGGGCGAGTGACTTCACTTAGGATCTTTGTAGGTGCATCATTTGTTGCTCCGAGATAATAGCACTGAAAAAAAAGAATCAACCCAGAGTATTTACAGTGTTAAATAAAATGAAAATTAGAATAATACAGTAGCTCAAAGATTGTCTCTAGAGATGAGAGTGGAAATCATTTGGTCCTTACAGTCTAACCCTTAAATGTTCAACTCTTATGATTAAAGACATCAGAAAGATAAATTATGTGATGGCTGTGGTCATTCCTATTATAAACTGTTGTTTCAGGAATCTATTATATATAGCATTCTAGGTAAAAATATGAAAGTCAAGGTACTTGATGGGGAGATTTAAATAATAAAAATGTTTAAAGTGATGGCAGTTTCATATTTTCACATGTAAGTGGAAAGGACACTACAAAGCAAATTCAAAGGATGTGTTCTCCCTTCTCTTAAGGAATTTAACATATAAAATGGTTTTCAGTGATACAAGAGAAGATTTAAAACGTTTTGCTGTTGTTGTCCAGATCTACGATTTCATCTGTATAGGAGGAAACTTGCGATGTGGAAACTTCCTCTACCAACGCAGATTACCACCTTGTCTGCAACTTAAAATCTTAGAAAGTTGCCTTGGGACACTGAGAGATTAACTGACTTGCCCAAGGTTACTTGGATAGTATGTGTGAAAGGTAGGATACGAACCCAGGTCTTTCTTACTCTAAGGCCCATCTTTTATCCAATATAACTAGGAAAGGATATACAATAATACGTATGCATTTTTTAAAACTTGTGTTTGCATAGCTGTCGGTATGTTTTTGCTGTACATAGAGCAAAAACATACAGACAGCTATGCAAACACAATTTTTTTTTAAAATGCAATACAGTGTAAGTATGAACAGTAATGTAAGATGTTTGGGTTTTTTAAAGATAACTTCAGCTTAAAAAGAGAGCCAAGCCTGCAATTTTATTTCCATAATGACTAGGATTCCCCAAGGGGAAACAATCTAAGACAAGACCACTATTCAGGGATCTTCTGATCTAAAATTAGACAAATCAGAAGACTAAGAGATTGATTTTTTGATCAATGCCTAGGAGCTATTCTGAACAATAGGTAACCTGGGAAGAAGAGAAAGCCTCCTAGTCTCAGACAGACATCCAGTATAATGTTGCCCTTTACAATACCAGTATTCCCATTTTGTATGAGAATTGATCAATGAGGAAAAGATGTGCATCTAGCTCTAAAACAATCACCTGAAGAAAGTAAACTAGAGATTGGAAGTCCTCTATAAGATCTTAGCATATCAAGAGAAGACTGCTACTGAGTCTTAGTACCCTGAAAAGATAGCCTTCTCTAGACAAGTTGGATTCATAAGGAACCCTGACACTGAAGGCAGCTTTCAAGTGAATTGGTTCAACAAAAGCTCTCAGGCTATTCTGGGCATCAAGACCTGTGTACTTAACAGTTCCTTAATCTTTCTGGGCCCGAGTCTTCCTTTGTAAAAGGAAGAGGTCAGGCTGGATGATCTCTAAGGAAACTCATCCTTAAGTCCTGAAATCTTTCGGTCTCTTCAAATGTTCTTCCCTCCACATCCTACCCTCTACCCTCAGTTTACTTGGGGGACAGGGAATGAGACTGAGGATGATGATTCTCTGCAATACCCCAACCAGACCCAGGGAGTAGAAGGAAGATCGGGTCAAAGGTCTTGGAGATAAAACCTTCCTAAACCTCTGGCCTGGATGCTGTCTATCCTCTCTCTGACTTATCCTTGGGGTATAGTCCACTAGGGAGTATTCTACATAGCCCGAATTCTTATAAATTTGTTGAAACTTCATAAGCCCAACCCCAAGAGAATATCTCACAACCTTCACCTAGGAAAAAAGTTACTTGAATTGGTAGAAGATGGAGATTATGCCAACAACATTAACCAGAGCAGAACATATATCACTAAACATAAAACTTTATTAAAAGGCTTATAAAAGTGGTTCATGATCTGTGAATCAAGGAACCTCATTAGTTCACATGGAGTTACTACAGATAGCATATGAATTCATATCCATATCAAACATTGTCATTTTAATCTTTATTCAACTCCAACAAAACATGTAGCATGACTTAATAGCATAAAAAAAATTCTCTTGGATGAATAAAGGTCTCTCAGATATATATATATCACCTTTTTAAATACATGTAGATGCTGCTGTGATTAATAAAACACAAGTTTATTTAAAATCACTACTTGAAGTCTTTTTAGTCATTTATATTTTCTCAATCTATAGTTATATATTATATAAATAAATACAACTAACTATGAGAGGGGATCCCTGAATTTTTTTTAATTAAAAAGAGATATTCATACTCATAAAAAGTTTGGAAACAGTTGACCTTAGTTTAAACAAAGCAAAACTAAACTGACTCCTAAGTAACTGTAAATATATTTTGTTCCATTTTGTTCAAAGATCAATTTAGAATTGTTTTCTGAGCTGGATATATTTGAGACAAGCATGCAGCTCAGATGACAACAGAAGGCCATCATGAGAAATGACAAAATTAGCAGTCATCTGCAAGCAAAAAAAGTGAAAATGAAAGGTGAAAAATTACCATACCAGTCGATTTTCTTTTCCTTTGGAATCTAAACAAATGCTGATTAATTCATTTTCTATGGTTTCCTGAGAAAAGTCAACACCTTTGGCTATTAAGGAGCTGTAGAATCTTTCCAGAAATTCTTTACATACTAGGAAGAAGAAAGAAATTATATTTGTATGCACGATAAAAACTATACACATACACATATTCTGTGGAAGGTAAATTAACAAAAGGGATATCACTGGTCTTTGCTAGGAGTGTGGATTTAGGTTCTGTCAAAATTGCTTTCAGGCATCTAACTAGCAACCTGGCAGATTACTCTTTGAACCTATAGTCTGCTGAAAAGCAGGAAGGTTTCTCAAGGGAAGCCCTAAATTTAAACATTAATAGGTTGGAAAAGTGGTCTGGACCTAAAAAGATGAAATTTAATAGGGTATATTTGGGTTTAAAAAAAACTATACAAGTATAGGAGAGGAGAGATATTGCTAAGTAAACCTAACTCAATATATGTCAAAGTGTAAAATAGCCCAAAATTCCAATCTAATAATAGGCTACATTAATGGAAGCATAGTGTGTCCATATTAAAAGTGATAATCCCTCTGTACTAGGCTCTAGTCACATCACATCTGGAATATTCTGTCCAGTTCTAAGTGCCATATTTTAGATCAAACAGGATATAGTATTTTCAAAGCATTTCTAAGATAGGAAAGCAACTCAAAACCATGCCATATATAGATTGGTTAAAGGAAATGGGGATATTTAGCCTGGAGAAGTAAATATTTTAGTGGAATGTGCTAATTATCTTAAAATTTAAAAGATTACCATGTAGAAGAGGCATTAGACATGTTCTGCTTGACCCTAGAGATTCAAATAAAGATCAATGGATAGAAATTACAGAAAGAGAGCTTTCAAATTAATATAAGGAAAAGTTTCCTTAAAAATTAGGGCTACCCAAAAGGGCATATTCTAGAAAAAATTTATGGGAATTTAAACAATCAAACCTCATTATGTACTTAAACTATCTGTTATCATGAACTTCAGGGTCTGTCATCATTTATCTTCAGGAAAGAAGATGAGAAACCAGCATAGACAGCCTACTTTACCAGACAGGATTCATGTTTGAGTAGTGTTAGATGACTGCTGAGGTGTGACTAAGAATGAAATAATGACGTCTAAACTAGGAATTGTTTTCAATTCCTAATTAAGAAATATTTTAAAGCACTAACTATTAAGCAAAGTATTATGCTAGGTGAAAAGTAGATTTAAAAAAAAGTTTAGGTAAAATATAAGTCCTTGACCTCACAGAATTTACAGAATAGTGTGAGAATCCAGCAAATGCATAACTGACTTTTTCAAAAATCTGTAACTTGATCAGTGAGGGTAATCCCATTATAATTCAGTAGATGGTCTTCAAACTATTTAGGGTCAATTTGGTGATTATCTTATCCAAATTTAGCTAAGCCAATCCTCAGAAAGTACAATTATGTTTTACCCATAATCTAAGCCCTTCCAGCTCAGAAGGTCCATTATAGCTGGTGCTTTGCTCTCATAATCTTTGAGAACCCAAGGTAGTTTTTACCCAATGATGAAGCATCAGAAAAGTAAGTCTTAATTCCAACAAATATCTGCAATTCTTGTATCCAGGGCCACTGGATAAGGTAGAACATAACTGTGGCATTGGTAGCAATAGGCTAACTGCTCCAGGTAGCTTCCTCAAATGGAGAGTCATGGATATGAAAGAACCAAAATAGAAATCAGCCTTAGAAAATGGAAGATTCTAATGGTAGCTCTATTCTTGAAAACGAAATTCAAAAAAACACAAAAAAAACCTGGCAAACTCAAAAATCCTTCTCAACTAAGAGGTATGTAACCACAATTCAAGTTACTTCTGTTTTCAGGCAACGTGTCAGTTTATCATCTTCTTCACAGGTACTATCATCTCCTATCTTTGTATTTTTGTACATATAGGTCAATTTGGGTGAATTATGGAGCATGTGAAGGGGAAAAGGTTGGAAAAGTGAAGATGAGGTTGCAAGGGGGAAAAGTGGAATTTTAGATCATAATTTTCCATTTGTAAACTCTAAAACCTCAACAAAACTCCATGGAGGTAACCTTGGGACATCAAATATTACACCAGCAGAACACAACCTTCTACAAGTTTGACCAAGCTGCAAAGGTTTAAAGTATTGCCTTGTCAACATAATGTGTCTGCTGTCCAAGGGACAACCTATCTTTGTATAAAGAAGCTCATATGCAACCCTTTCTCCACTAGGAAATTAACTCTATGCTCATGGAGAACCTTGAAACAGGAAAGATAAAAAAATGTTCTTCCATCCTACGTAGCTTCTTTGTGCTTCCACATGGTGGTGGCAGACATGCTTAGAGGGCACTAAGTAAGAATCATAAAGTTTTTAGGGCATCACAAATATTAATTTAACTTGTTATATGTGAAACCTTTACAAACAAGTTGATTCAATGCTAGAGAAAGTGAAACTCATCTATATTGACATTCTTATTGTAAATGATAAAAGTTGCGGTGAAATGCACTGATGGTGATAATGAAATTGGCAATACTGGTTTCATGATGCACCCAGAGAGAACAGTAAAAATCCAAATGGTTACCTCATCTTTCAGTGAAAACAGCTGCAGTTCATGTGTACCAACATGCATTGCAGAGGATGAAAAAGCAGAGCTAGACTATAAAAAACTTGATAAAATCCTCCAAATCTAGTCAACAGATAACAACACACAATGAAGCCATCTAGTTCAGCTCCTTTATTAAATCCTATTCAATTTAACAAGCATTTTTTAAGGTATCTGCATTGTGCCACGTATTGTGCTAGGCACTGGAGATTCAAAGACAAAAGGGAAAATAGTCCCTGCCCTCAAGGAGCTTATAGTCTGAAAAGGTAAACAACATGTACACATATAGGTATAAACAAAATTTATAAAAAATAAATACAAAGTGATTCAAGGGAAATGGCATTAGCAAGAGGCAGGAGAGAAGTTTGGGTCAGGAGAGGTTTAAAAGAAGGCAATATGTGAGCTGAACTTTGAAAGATACACAGGGATTCTGGGAACTGGAGATAAGGAAGGAATACATTCCAGGCATGGGATCCAGCCTATTCAAAGGTACAGGGACGGGAGGGGGACTTTCATCTGTGAGGCCTGTTTGACTTGACTACATGGAGGGGGGAAATATATAATAAGGGTAAAAGGTTAGTTAAGACTATGTTATTAAGATTTTTAAATGTTAAACAGAGGAACTTATATTTGATTCTAATAATAAGAAGCCACTTGGAATTTACTGAGGAGAGTGACATGGTCAGACTCGTGCTTTAAGAAAACAATTTTAGTAGCTTTGCTTAGTTGGGTCTCTTTCCAAGCTTTCTGAAAACTTTTTTTTTATCCCTCTACTGTTAACGAATTACTTGTAAGGTGCTACCCACCACCATCCTATTCCCTAAGATCTTGTAAATAAGATTATACTCCAAACTGGTACTATGCTATCTCTCTACTTGTCGAGGAGATCAGATATTTAAAAGTTTCCAGACTCTTTGGGTCATTTTGTTGTAGTGATTAATTTCATTTAAATGTTAACTTCTTTAGGAAATAATAACAATCTGTGTCAATGTTTGTCATTTTATCCATTTCCCAGAGGGGATTGCCTACTAAATAGTCTCCTTTTTATTCTTTCTTCCAGTTCAATACGGATTTGGAGCTTCATTCCAGCAAGTTAATGGTCTGAACAAACAAATACTCCTACATGAGGAGAAATCCTGTCATTTTTATGACTTTTTAATTGCTCAGTATATCCTATATTTTTTTCTTCTCTTATAAAACTATTGTGATATGGGGGTATAAAGCTTCTATATGGTCTACAAGTCTTTTAGTCTTCTCATTTCCTCCTCAGCCACTTTTTTCTAACATACTTTTGCTATCTATCCTATGCCTACTTTTGCAGAGAAGTCATTATTAAAGTACATGCTGATTAAATTTGGAGGGTCTTTTTGAGTTCTTCATGGAAGAACTCTTTCTACCTCATCATCTTTGGTAATACATAAGCTACAATTTATTTCATGGTCCTCTTAATAATAGCTAACATTTACATAGCACTTTCTGGCTTTGCAAAACACTTTACATTTATCATCTCATTTAATACCTTACAAGGTAATATTGGGTCTGTTCTTATCCCTGTTCTAGAGATGAAGAAACTGAGACTTCGAGATTAAATTTTCTCAGGGTCACACAGCTGTTTTCTGAGGTCGGGTTTGAACTCATGGAATTCTATCCTCCATGCCACTTAGCAGCCTACCAAGGCTTATTATAGTCACTACAATATGAGATTACCAAATGTCGCATGAAATGATGTTTCTTATTTCCCTCAGATGCATGATAAACCCCTCTGCCTTCTTTATTTGCCTCTACAATGAGGACCTGTGACCCATTCCATTCAGCTTCAACTTCTTTTTGTCTCCTGGCTACATTTACAGTGAGAACACCAAGACTGATAGGGCTGACCATGTCACAGCCCTACTCAAGATGATTCAGAGACTCCCTATTATCTTCAGGATAAAACACCACCTTTCCAAAATTCACACACATTATCCCACTCACTTATTCTGTCTTCCAATCACCTTGGCCTAATTTCTGTGCCTATACACGACACCTGATCTGCTGTCTCCATGCCTTTACACAAGCTGTCCCCCACTATTAGAATGTGCTCTCTCTCCTCACGTGAACTTCTTCACATCAAAGAAACATAATCTGTGGTCAGTTCAGTATTGAAAGCCTTTGCAAAGTGATAAAAATCTGCCAGATTTCACTCTATTGGCACTACCTCCAAGAATACAGGGTTACATCCACATAGTGATGAGGTATCTGGAATAGGACCTTGTGTTTTTGAAGCTTCTTTCAAGGCTCAGCTCAGTTGTTGCCTCCTACATGAGGCCTATCTTGATCTCCACAATTGTTGGTTATTCATATTTCCTTACTTGTGTGTATACTTCTCAGTAGAAAGTAAGCTCTTTGCAGACAGGGACTATTTTGTTTTTGTCTTCCTGTCCTCAGTACCTTGTACTGGGTAATATATAAATAAATGCTTGTTGAATGAATGAATGAAAACTCTCAAATATGGCCAGTAAATTCCATGGGTAATAAGAAATTACTTTGTAAACCTTAAAGTGCTAGATAAATGAGACAGACTGGAAAATCTAACTACAGTCCAACCAAGCCACTACCAACTACTGTACATGTGAAGTACAGAATACAGTAACTAGATAATGTAGTAATGCCATCTACAGGAAATAGGCTAAAAGTTTCTTTCTATAATTCAAGCATTAAAAATGGTAAAATAATGAAAAACAATATTTATGGTTAAAATCAAAGATTGATGGGCTCAGAACACTTTCATAGGCTCCATTTTATTACTAGTACCACTGAATATCTCTGAAAGTTGAAAGTAGATACTAATCCAAACCCTAGGTGTCATTAAGTTTTTTAAAGAATCCATATTAGTCCCCACAAAGGTATCAGAATCAAGAGGAGAAGAGGGTGAACTATAAGGTTGGAATAGTTTTTTTTTAATTAAGTCATTGTTGACTTGTTCCACTTTTGCCCAGTGGTCTCTGAAAATTAGCTTCCAGATGATACATAGCTCATTGCATCAAAGGCTTAGACTACAAGAGAGGCAGTATTAAGGGATTGAATGTAATTAAGTAATAGTGAAAATACACTGAATCCTTTTACCACTGCTACTCCCTTCCCTATGAATGTCCTTGCTACCATATCATCATGAGTTTTATCTGTTGAAATTATAATCAACTAAGTTATTATTGGGTCAAATTGTGTTAGTAAGGCATATATCATTATGAAGAACAGGAGAAAAAGAAGACATGGGGCATAGGGAACGGATATAAAATTTTAAGAAACCTTGTTATCTAATTTAACAAAATCAACATTTATTACTAAAGTTATAATCTCAAAAAAGAAAAAAATTTCATCAAATATACAGAATATTCTTACTTTTAAAAATAATTCTAGAATTTTATAAATTTTATTTTGTGTGAGGTCTTTTGTTCAATCAACAAACACTTATTCAGTTTCTATCATGTGTCAGCACTGTGTTAGATTCTATGTTTACAAAAATGAAAATCCCTTCTCTCAAGAAGCTTATTTCTGCAGCTCCTTTTTATATAGTGGTAGACATATAAATATATGTCTCCTAATATGTAGGAGTCATATATATATGTGTGTGTATATCAATCACTCCATGGTGATATAATGGGTTTTTCCTATAATTGTGAAATTTAAAGGACCTAGGATCATATCTCAGTTTTGGATACTACCTTTGTGAACTTTGGAGAGTAACTTTACCTCTCTCTGGTATCTTCCAGCAATTGAAATTAAATGGAATTTTGTTTATTATAGTTGCTACATTATATTCCAAGCTTCTGGGTTGTTGATATGGACTAGGCACAATGACAGCAAATAACCACTAATATAATTGTTTCAGTTGGGCTTAGAACTTAAAATCAGTAAATAAAAAGTGCTGTTGTATGGCACCTATAACATTTGTCATTCTGTTCACTGTCTCACCCTTCTTTCCCAGAGCAATTAAGTTGTACTGGGCACTATCTTCAATTTCTTGTATATTTATATCATTATAAGCTAAATCTCTCCCTTAGTAAATTAAGCAGCAAAGTTTTCCCAGGTAAGTGCTGGATGTTGAAGGAATATGCAGGAGGAGCTAAATTTAGAATCACAGAATGGAAAAATGTAGAGCTGAAACTAACCTGAGATCATCCAGGTAACCCCCTCATATTACAAATGAGAAAACTGAAATTACTGACTTTGATTCCCTTCCAATACTCCAGTTAACTTTTATACTGTAAAGCAAAGATTTTTTTTTAATTAAACTAATTTTCTTTGCTCTTCGCTCTTCTAGTTTACATCACCTAACTCACTCTCGGCTAATTTTTCTTTTTTCCTTTTGGCATGAATCAGTTTGTACTCTAGTGACAGATGTCTTCTGGACAAAAGGATGCAGATATTACCAGCTGAAAAGGAATGAGCCACTTAAGGACTTCCGTCCAACTTGCCAGGTTGACATCGGTGGGAACGGATGAGAGGAAGAGTGGCTAGTGAAAAACTAGGCTCAAGTCCTAGCAGCGGCTACAAAAGTCACTTAACCTTTCAGTGTCTCGGGCTTAGTGTCTCAGCGAGGAAGGAACTGATTTGAACTAAAGATTCTCATTCTCTGTCTCTCCCCCTTCTCAATGCGAACTAAGATAAACCCTCTAATATATGTATATACCGCATAACATATACTATTAGATCGAAAAGGTGATTTCAGAGTCCCATAATTTAATTACTATCCCTCTGGTAAACAGTTTCCTTTTTTCGTCTTTCGGGGGAGGGGGGGAAAGGTTGGGGGGCTGGCCAGGTTGTTAACAGCACACCCAACGAATGGTTTTTGAAACAAGGGAGGAAAAAAAAAATTTTACGGGTGGAGACACTTGCATTCTCCTGCTCCTAGTTATTTATAGCATAAGCCAGGCAGGGAGAAGGCAGTGCAAGCAACAGCTGCAGTCCTTGGAGCTCAGCGCCATTGCCATGCAAGTTCAGTCTCACCCCCGCTCACCTTCACAGTCAGCCCCCACGCGCACCGGGGAACCTTGCCCCCGAACAGCTGTGGGGTCAGCGGCAAAAAGGCAGGCAGACAGGGTAAGGGCTGTGAATGCAGCTGGGGTCGAGGGCTGCATGTTGAGAAAAAGTTCCAATTGCGCGGGCCAGCCACAGTCAGAGAAACGCATAAACCAGAGCTCTCACTATCCTATACAAACAAGGCACCAGCAGGGAATGGAAAGGGAGAACCTGGTACCGTACAGAATTTGCCCTTAGTTGCTAGGAAGAATTACGTAAACGTAAACTCTAGTTCCCATTGGCTTATCTGGGAAAAGGTGGGCGAAGCAATGGAGCCTCTCTCCCAAGCGTCACCACCCCCGCCTCTTCTTTTCAACTGGCGCTTGCGCTCTCCTCCACGCGCTGGCCGCTCGTACCTTCGAGAGGAAACCGACGCAGGCGCGACGCTTCACGATTCGCCAGGCCCCTGCGTAGCGAGGCGGGAGTTTGGTCTTGATTGGCGGAGACGGCCTTAGGCAGCCGTGGATTGAATGGGCAGGCTGAGCGGAAGGGAGGGGGAAGCGTGTGGTTACCGCGGTGCTTGATGGGGCTGCTCCGAGACCGGTAGCGGCCGCCGTTGTGAGAGCAGCCCGTGCCGCCGCAGCCTCATGGCGGCCATCGGAGTCCACCTGGGCTGCACATCTGCTTGTGTGGCCGTCTATAAGGTAAGGGAGGACGGCGGCGGCGCAGAGAGAATCGGCTTGCTTTACCCTCCTCGGACTCGGGGGTTGATCCCTTCCTTTCGTTACCTGGAGGGCCAGTCCGGGGGTAATGTCGCCCAGGGTCGCCTTTCAGCGGCAGCGAAAGCCGAAGGACGCCTCGGGCCGGTGCCAGACTCTTGACTTTCTGAACCCCCTGCCCTTCTGTCTTCACCCCTCATATCCAACCTTCCCAAATACCTCTCTGTGTCTTCGCTCACCCCCCCCATCCCCTATCTCGGGCCGATCTCTGCGGGGGGGGGGGAGACGCGCCTGGCGCCAAGGAGGGTCGCGGGACGGTGACGGGAGGTGTGGAGTGACGTCACGGTAGCATGCTCCTGACGTGGACCCTTGGCCCCGGCGTCGGGCGGGGGGGCGGGGGCGAGGCTGGGAGGAGGGCAGGGGGCTGTTCTGGGGTCAGAACTCCGAGGTTCCGGGGCTTCTCCAAACTCCTGCGGGAGGGAGCGAGGGAGGGAAGGGCGGGGTAGCCTCGGCCTGCGACCTAGAACTGTTGCATTCTGTGCGAGAGCATTGGCTGTGGAGGGGAGCGTGGGTGAGTATGGCTTCTTACTTGGGCTGTTTAATATGGAAGGTTTCCCGAGTCCTAAGTAGGGAAAGCGGCGTTGGAGGGCCTGGGGGATGCCGGTGGGAGGGGAGATCGGGCCCTTCTGTCAGTTCCTTCGAGAAGAGAGATGAACAGGGTTTTTGTTTTTTCCTGCCACTAGTTTTATCCCTTCTGAAAATAGGATCTATCAGGAAAAAAACAGCTCCCATGGGGTTAGTATTACTTAATCCGGAGAAAAGAAGGTGTGTAGGTGTGGGGGCGGAGAGGAGAGAGGGTGACTTAATAATGATCTTTAAGTGTTTGTAAGGAAGGTTGTTATTACACATAGGATACATTAACCAATTATTGCCTGTGCAGAGGACACCAAAAAGAAATGGGTGGATTCAGCATAGAGGGCGTCTTCTACTTAAGGAAGGGCAAGCGCTGTGTAACTCTGTTAAATGAATAATGATAATACATTGCTTAAGTCTAAAATATTTATATAGCACCAAGATGTCCCCTTGGATAAGGTCAGGTTGTGTAAAGAATATGCAGCTATCCGTGTAAGAAATATAATCACAACACTGTAAACTCATATAATCATTAATGTGTCACTTAAAATCACTGTTTCTTTTTTTCTTTTCTTTTTTTTTTGCCTATCTCTCCCTAGGATGGCAGAGCACATGTGGTTGCTAATGATGCAGGTGACAGAGTCACACCAGCTGTGGTTGCTTATTCAGAAAATGAAGAGGTAATAATCCATTCAGACTTCTTTACTTTGTAGTGATCAAATATTAGATACATTTTAATTTATGGCTCTTTTGCAGGTTGTTGGTTTGGCAGCAAAACAAAGTAGAATAAGAAATATTTCAAATACAGTTATGAAAGTAAAGCAGATCCTTGGCAGAAGGTAAGGAGCTTGATCTTATATGAAATAATACGTTTCTGTCAGGAAGAGAGGTTTGTAATCAGATTGTGATGCAAAAATAGTAATTCTGGAATTATGTAACTGCATTTATAATTGGGGAATTATCAAGAGCAGCATAATGGGATACTTACTTGCTTTAATTTATGATGTTAGATCTGTCTTTGTGAATTGTCACCCGTTAACATTTTGGAACATAGTAGTAAACAAATATTTCTGTGTTATTTCAGTGGAGATAATATGAACTTTTGACATTTTTGAGTTAAATATTTAGAGGAGATGGAGTGATGATGATGATGATGAAACTTAAGATAATTTAGAAGAAACTTGGAGGATGTTATTTTAGTGCAGTTGAATTTTTCCAAAAACTAGTAATGTTGTTTGGTGACAGCTTCAATAGATGTCAGTCTTCTGTTACAGTGCCTTTGTGTAGGTTCTTCTCTAGACTAACTTTTCCTGTTTGTCTCTTAACGTGCAAATTTAATCATTGTAGAAACAACATAATTAATGTCTTAAATAAGAATCAAGTCAATCATCCACTGCTCTAACTTTAATTAAAAGATTAAAGAGACTTGCTTTCCCAGACTTCTGTCTCCTGAAATTATAGATTACAATAATTAAAGGTTTTATATCCTTGTAATAATAATACTTTACATAGCGCTTTTAAAGTTTCACAACACTTTCACATCTTTTTTTTATTTTCATACCAGCTCTGAGTTTGAAAGAGTAGTTATTAACCCATTTTACAGATGAGGAAACTGAGGCACTGAGATTGTTGTTTGCCTGATGTTGCACAGTGGAAATAACTAGAATTTATAGGTCTTCTGACTTTAACCACAGCCTCTTTCCAAGGTGCTAGATGGAGAATTTTGAGTAGAAATTAACATAAAATTCTGAACTTGGGCTCATAAAAAGAATTAGTTTTAAGACTCATTCCCTGTGTAGATGCAGGAATCTTAATCAAAATGATCAATTACCTGTTTTGGTTAAATTGAATTCATGTTATTTTTTCTTCTTAGGCTGTCTCTGCACTAGCCAAGACCAAAATACAGGGATTTTTGGAGGGGTGGGGTGTAGTAGTACACAATATTGTGGCAACAGCTACATTTCCACACTATCCTTTTTCGCTATAAGTAGAAAAATTCAGCTTATTGGAAGCAAAACATAAGTGCCAGTAATTTTTAGACCCTAAATTCCACCCCCAAGTCAGGCAAGTATAGACAGGTTCATTGGTTTGAAGCTTTTTAAACACCCAACGGGATTGGGAGGAGGAGGTGTTGCAAACAGCCAGAATTGTAAATGACCAGCTTCTGTCATATCTCCAGTCTTGAAAAAAGTTTCTAGAAATTCTGTGCTAGCAAAAGTAACTTAGTACTTTTCTAGTCACCTAAAAAGATGCCTAACAGTGCCAATCAGGTAGCCATCTCATTGTGGCTCTATCCTGGTACTTTGGGGTCAGTCTAGCAAGGTTAGTAAAACCTGTGTCCTTAGGGCACACTGACAACAACATGTAGCACAGGGCTGCCATGACTTCTCCCAAGTTGGCTGCCTCTTTCTCCAGGCCCTATTTTCTACAAGTTCCCTTTCTATCAAACAGAATCTTTACAGACATAGTTATAGTCACCAGGTCTTGGTCTTAGAGGCAACCCAACCTTCTGTGGAGGAGTCAGCCCTCAAGTTGCCAAGCCCATAGAGTGCTTTATTGGTCTCCCAACATCCATCCCAGGCTTACTCCCAAAGCCAGGCATGCTCAGCCTTGGCCCCATGCCTATCAAAGAACCACTCACAAGTAGTACCATCTAACTTGATGTCAAAGTCTTCCTTACACCCTCCCTGTAACTCATGCCCATCTGGCCTTCTAGCCAGACATGCGGTCCTTGGACCTGGTTCCACAGCAATTAGTCCCAAGAAGGAGGAAGCAGCTGGCTCCAGGAAATATACTGAGACCACACAGAGCTTCCCCCAAGTCTTCATTGTTGCAGCTTGATGCTCAGGAGCCTTCAGCAGTTTCCCATTCCACAATGGCCACTACCAATAGCAGTGCGGGCATCCGCTGGTCCAGACAGGAGACACGTACTCTTCTGGCCATACTGGGTGAGGCAGAGTATATTCAGCGCCTCCAGACTGTCCACCATAATGCAGATGTCTATCAGGCTGTGTCAAAACGAATGCATCAGGAAGGTTTCCGCCGCACAGAACGTCAGTGCCGCTCCAAGTTTAAAGTTTTGAAGGCTTTATATTTAAAGGCTTATGTTGCCCATGCCACCAGTATGGGCGACCCTCCACACTGCCCATTTTATGATACACTGGATCAGCTTCTCCGAAATCAGGTAGTGACTGACCCAGATAATTTAATGGAGGATGCTGTCTGGACCAAGCAATGTGATCAGAACTTAGTAGCCTCTGACCTCCCAGGGGAAGAGGGAAACAGCAACTTGAAGGCAAAGAGGAATCAGGCAGCAGATCATCAGACTATCTTGAGAGCAGCTAAGGAATCAGATGAGAATTGTCACCTAAGTGTGGGAATCGGTAACCAGCTGCCTGAAACCGGTGACCTTGAGGATTCCTGGGATGAAGCCTCAGGTGCAGGTAACTCCCAAGAGTGAGAAAATATTGGGGTCCTACAGTGCCCTGGTCTTAGGCACCAAGTGCATGGTTGGGGGGTGGGTCCTGTTGGTGGTCTACCTCAAGTCTAGTGAATCTAGTTTCGGGATGGGTGGACGTAAGAACTATTGGCTTCAAAAGCCCACGAACTTGGTCTGTCATCACAGGTTGGGACTCTGAATCCTGAAAGTTGAAAAATTCTATGTAAATCCAAAGTTGTGACAGCATTATTTCTTTAGATTACTGTAAAGAATTTGTAGTTTTAGATTAACAGTTTGGATAGGTAAGAGGAGGGGGTCATGAAGGTTGGGGAAAGATTGTATAGGCATAGCAACTTTATCCACATAACTCCAAAAGCCAGGGCTTGGATTCCTTCCTAACCCAAGACAAAAGGGCACCTTGCAGAAGCTATCATAGTCTATTTGCGGCTGTTTTCTGCTGCTGGCTTCAAAGCATTGCCTTAGCAGAAAAGTCCACTTTGCAACATTGTTGCTTTGTTTTGCAGGCTGCTCTCAAGCGATCCCCAGCTACAGCAGCTCCCACAGCCTTTACAGAGGTGCAGTTGCTCCCTGTCATAGCAGCACTGTGACCAGAGTGGGTGTGTCTGTGAGCCGGGTCCCTGCGCCAGCACCAGCCGCAACACCCTTGGTATAGCCTCCACCCAACAGCCCCAAGCCTCTTCCTCTAGAATCCATCTTGTTTCTGGTGGGGATGGGACTTTCACCAACCAACCACCTCCAAGGTGGGCACGGCGTAGAAGGCGTTCAGTGGCCAGGACCATTGCTGCTGAGTTGGCAGAAAACAGGAGACTGGCACGAGAACTTTCCAAGCGTGAGGAAGAAAAACTGGACAGGCTGATTGCTATTGGTGAGGAGGCCAGTGCCCAGCAAGACACTGCCAATGAGCTCCGCAGGGATGCTGTAATTGCAGTCAGACGTTTGGCTACAGCAGTAGAAGAAGCAACTGGTGCTTTTCAGCTAGGACTGGAAAAATTGCTTCAGAAGTTAATTTCCAGCACCAAAAGTTAGGGGCCTGTTGTAAGAAAGTTATTCCCTAAACTAGTAGTAACATCTGCTTTCTAATGGCCACCCTCAGTGTTCCCTGACATCTTTTCTTGTGCAGCTGGCCCTCAGAAAGAGGGAAGATGAACCATATATTTGTGGAGCAACAGGAATACATACACAGGCCAGTTCCTTTCCTGGAAGCTCATTACTGGTTAATGGAGGACTCTCCAGAAATATGTGGGCCAGCATGGTATTTAGAAAAGGTCTGGGGCTGGAAGTCAGGAAGTCTCTAGTCCTGCTTCTACCCCTGACTTCCTGTGTGTCCCCAAGTTCTTAAGCAATTTAGATCATATCTCTGTGCATCAATATCCTGCTATGTACAAAGGGGAATAATAATACCTGTCATACCTACCTCACAGGGTTGTTGTGAGGCTCGAATGGATAGTAGATGTGAAAGCATTTAGAAAAGTATACTGTGTAAATGTAAGGTATTATTCATAAATGTGACCTTGGCTGAGGCAAGCCTGGGATGAGGCACATTAGATTGCCAGGTATAAAAATGTGGTTATTAGCAGTAACCTCATTCTTTGAGCCCTGCACCCACTACTTGTTTGTTATTTTGTTTTTTTAATTCTACTTGACTGCTATATAGAGTGATTCCTTGTTTTATTTTTTGTTTGTTTTTTGGAAATCCCTTTACAATCATACAACTAATGTGGTTGCAAATAATATGTACCCTTTTGAATACATTTTTCACTGCTATAACTCTATCACATCTTGAAATGTAATGCAAACTATAGCAACCAGATTAGCTCCTTCCCCATCCCCCCCTTTTTTTTAATTCAGCTAGTTCCTATTGCACCACTGAGGGGGGTAAAATTAATGACTGACAGGGAACTGCAATAGTTGTGATGTCATGTTTCCATATTAATGAATGATCTGTGGTGAAATGAAATATTGAATGTTATGTAAAGTTTTAAATGTAAGTAAATACTTTGCATTTCATATTATGTAGTTCCTTTACTTTATGTGCATAAATATATATTAGTAATTATCTTAATTTGGTTTGTTACCATCTGAGCTTTCTAGAAACAAATGACTTGGATTGTTAGTTTCCCTGCTCTGCTTCAAGCTGATTTCATTTTTCTAGGCTAGCAGCTTTTCTGTCTATTGTGTGTTGGAGGGCATGCCTTGGAAAACTTCCCATCTAGGGAACCTGTTAAAATCATAATTTCTCCACTGTTGGTTCACCTAGTTGAATGGCTAATAACGTATGAGAGCAAAGCATAACATCTCCTGCACCTGTTAGGAATGGAGTGGATGGAGACTCTCTGGAACAGATCACTGTTCTTTTGAAGCACAGACCCTAAAGCAAACCTTTTTGTCCTTGTTTTTAAATCATTTCTCTGTAATACTTAATAGACCTTGAATTTCTATTCAGTGTTCTTCATTTACAGGAGACCAAAAGATTGTAAAAACAAAACAACAAAATATTTTGGGGTGATGTGCCTATATCTCTAAATTTGCTTTCCAAGAGGAAACCATTGTCTGCAGTCGTTAAACCCAGCTAGAGCTTTTACATTTTGTGAATTAATTTAGGGGATTATTTTGTTTCTTATTCTTTTCAAGGGGGTGGGAGGGAGAAGGAGGTGGTGATATATACAAGAGACTTTTAAATTGATGAGGCTTTCCAGAATTTTAATAGTCTGAGGCAGGGGAAACATTTTTTTTTTTAACATGTGACTTAAGTATCTGCCTGAAAACTGCGGGGCGTAATAGGGGACGGGGACTGTCCAAAACACCCCAAAGACAAAATGAGAACATTTAGTGCAAGTTTAGCACCTTGGAGAGATAATAGACGTGCAGGCTACGATGATAAATGACATATGTTGAGTAATGAATGTGGGAGGAAAGCTGGTATAGTGGAAAGAGCTCTAGAATAGGAACCAGGATACTTCAGGTCTATTCGTGGCTCTTATTATATAGCTTTGTGCCCTTGGACACTTAAACGTTCTGTATCTTCATCTATAAAATGTTAGAGTTGGACTTGAAAATTTTTTAAAGATTCATTCCAGCTCTCAAAAGTTATGATTCAAATGTAGACAGAAATTAATGAAATTTTAGCTTTTGCAGTAAATATGTAATACATATCTGAAAATTTGTTTTAAATTACTTTTAAAGGGCAGTGAAGGAGGGTTTAATTTAATATTTACTAAGGCACTGATCTCTTAAATTCTGTATAAAATATAAAAGATGCCATCCCTGCTTTCAAAGAGTATATTAAGGTGGTGAGTTATTCATTTTTAGACCACTTTTTAAAAATTCTTTTTGAGAGCACCCATGTGGAGGTATATAAATCTAAAGAAGCCAAGATTAAGTAGGCTTCTCTGGAAGAGATTGCTTGATATAAAGAGCTCAGCCTTTGGCATGCTAAGCTGTTGATAGTGAAACAGGGCTGTCAGTGCGATGCGTAAGAACATGGGTGGAGAGGTGCAGCTATAAAAAATACTGTCATGGATGTGCTGACTGATGGCCAAGCAGACCAAGTTAGCCAGGTGGTGTATGTAAAAGGCATAGGTCTCGGGAGTACTTTTTACTAAAGAGTAGGGAGAATAAAGAGGAATATATGGAAAGTTATTGGAGTGAAGAGAATATGCAGATAATCAGGAGAGAATAGTATGTTAAATGGTGAAGGTTGTGACTAGGAGTCAGGTTTTTGCCTGGGTCCTAGTCCCATCTCATTACATAACCATAGGGATGTCATTTCACCACTCAGTGCCTGAGGGTCCTTATCTGTGAAAGGGGGATAAATAATAATAACTGTCCTACCTCACAGGGCTGTTGTGAGGATCATATGAAATAATGAATTTGAAAGCGCTTTGAACATTTAAAGCACTATGATAACTGTAAAGGATTGGTGAAGTTGGAGACCCATAGCACATCAGTGGTGGTGTATGTCAAGCCTCTGAGCAAGAATTTTTATACATATATATATATATATATATATATATATATATATATATATATATATATATATATATGTATATGTATGTGTGTGTGTGTGTGTATATATATATATATATGTATGTGTGTGTGTGTGTGTGTGTGTGTGTGTGTGTGTGTAGGCAAAGCCTACGGAGAGGAAGAGAATCCTATCCATCCATTAAAGGTTGGGGGAGATGGGCCAGAACTGACTTCCTTTCTGCCTTCCAGAAACCATGATGTGCATGAGGTGCTCTTTGTACCAACCCCCATAGTCTGTTTTTTTCTGTTTAATAACTGAATCCTGATGTGAACAAATAAAGTTTTTACTTGTATACAGTTGTGGCCAATCCACTGCTTCCTTAGATATTCATATTCATTCCTTTATCTTCTCCATTCCTGCTTTCTTTTTCACTTACTTTTCCATGTGTATCTACAAGAGGTATTTATTCTCCTCCAAAAGTCAGGTGAGAGAAGTGAGTTACTCATAAGATTAGAATACAGATCACCTCTGTTGATTACTTTTCAAAACAAGCTTTTCGGTCCCATGCTATATGTGTGTCTTAAGCACAAAAGTTTGAATTCTATCACTTTATTTTTCAAGGTTGAGACCAAATAGACTTTGTCAGGTGGATGTCTTTATTACAACCGAAAATATTAACTGATTCAAGAGCTCTTCTTAGGACTAAGAATGAAGTTTAAATACATTGTCTTTTACTGACAGGCTTTGATGGAAAGTAGGGACTTTTCTTCAGATAATACAGTGATTCCTTTTGGCAATAGAAATAAAAACAGGACCCTAATTAGTGAATTCAGCAAATCCTACCCTGCTGCCTACCTCTTTATCTAATACACTTTCTATGCATAATAGTCAAAATTTATCTCAATCATATTGTCTGTTGAGTGTCACTAAACAAAGTGAAGGCGAATTTAGACATGCAACTTTAGTTTTAAAAGCTTTTGGGGAGCATTCTGTTTTATAGATAGCCATGTTTAGTAGATAAGAACCTGAAGGAAAAGATAGAGAAAATTTGATGAAATGAGAGTAGGAGAAATTGGAAAACAGTTATGAGATGCTTTAGTTAAATTTGTTCAAGGGGGCAGTTTTTGAAACAGTCATTTGTTCTTTGGCAATTGAATCATTTCATGTCTAGCTCCTTTGATCAATCCTTCGGACTTTACTTTTTTAAGAAATGAAATCAGCATAGTAATTACCTCACAGGATGATCTCTGGGCTGCAAAAGTACCTCTTAGGATACTAATTTCAGCCAGAGGACTAGGATATATACCATTTTTGCCTTCAAAAGTGAAGAAAGTACTTTCAGAGGTTTCACTGGTCTCTTGCTCCCCAATGTTTTCATTGCATCAGGTTGAAAAGAAGTATTGAGTGCCTGCTGCTTATAGGGCATTTTACTCCTGCCCATCCTTTTTTCTGACTTATATTTGCTTCTCTCTCTTTTTTCCTCATCATGTATTTGCCTGCATTCTTCGGTCTGCCATCCTGTCATATTTTCTACATAGGTACAGGTATATAGGTTTGTTGCTTCTATCTCATAATTTGGGGGTTGTTTTTGCAAGTTCGGACGCTCAAGCATATAAACATCGCAGGAGATTAAAGTAGGTTTGATGACCTGGGCTGCAACCATAGATTCTCTAGCCTTCTTAATCCATCTTAATTTTGTGGTTTGGGATGATGGGATCACAGGTAAAAAGCTTATAGAAAGTCATCAATAGGATAAAAATTTACCACCCAACATAAATTCCACTGGTAGCATAGTCAGAACAGGAAATGAATTTTGCATCATAATATTAAACTATAAAGAATATGCTTTTTTAAAAATCTTACTATAATAACCATTGTTGAATAGCATGTCTTGTTTAACTGTGTTATCTTATTTCTTATAAAATTTGGAGAATGTTGAATTAGCATCTTAACATTTTTATGATTAAAGTTCAGTGATACTGGGGGAAATCATCATTTTTAGTCTGTTTTGATAATATGGGCTTTAATACATAGCATTTTTTTTCTTATTTTGACAGCCCTGGTGACGTGCAGGTGCAGAAGTACATTACAGAAAGTAAATGTCCAGTGAGTATAATTCTGTTATTCCCAGAACACAGATAATTTTGATGGTCATCCATCACCTATAACTTTTTTAGGAACTTGGATTTTTTGGTGGAAAAATTATTTTGTTTAACTTAATTGTGCTTTTTTCTTTGTAGGTCATTGAAAAAAATGGAAAATTCCAATACGAAATAGATACTGGAGAAGAAACCAAATTTGTTAACCCAGAAGATGTTGTAAAGCTGATATTTAGTAAAATGAAAGGTATTGAATAAAGTCCATAAAATAGAAGTTTCTCATATCATCTTTTTAAGTGGGCTTCAATTGGAAAAAAAGCATTTTTGAGCTGTGTGAAATAATAGCATAGTTGAAAAAACATTGGAGTAGATTTCAGGTCACCCCATTTCTAATCTTTGGCTATGCCACAAAATAGGTGGGTGATCTTAGACAAGCTGCTTCATGTCCTGGAACCTCTGTGAAAGATCTTTTTCCAGTTCGAATGTTATTCTTTGATGAGTTTTGGGGATAGAACTGCATTCCTGACACCTAAACAATGCTGAAACATTCTATTTACTTGTTTGGAACTCATACCACTTAAAGCAGGCTCCTTTTTAGAATGGCTGGTACCAAAGGTCCATCATCTGGAAAACTGGGAAAGAAAATTAGTAGGCTAGGAAGATAAGGTATGAATTGCAAAAAGTGGTTTGTTAAACAGGAAGTATTTGACATAACAGATGTCTGGTGCTACTACTATTCACTCTTTTTTTTAACCAGTACAATATATTTTTAAAAAATTTTGTGTACGTGTTAACAGAAACTGCGCAGTCTGCCTTGGGCTCAGATGTCAGTGATGTAGTTATTACTGTCCCGTTTGATTTTGGAGAAAAACCAAAGAATGCTCTTGGGTAAGTCGAATGAGGTATTTTCTTTTTTGGTTGATTAGAGTTAAAAACTCTTC